CTTGCTTTTCCCCGCGCGCCTTTTCGGCAGCCGTTTGGGGCTCGCCCTCATCGTCCGCATCAGCGTCCTCCTCGTAGAGCGGGTCCTCGTCCAGAACCGGTCCCACACCGCCTCCGTCATCTTCGTCACCCGGTTCTGCTGGCTGAAGGAGTTTGCCAAGGACATCTGGGACTGCCAAAGTAGCAATCAAGCCATACTTCACTCTCTTCAAGAGTTCGTCTTCACCTTGTTTGGCAGGACCGATGCAATCCAGCGAAAGACACCAAGCATCCGGGGCCACAATCCGGCGATGAACATGCCCCCGAAAAGCGCCGGCCAAACACGCCTTGCAGTCTCGACGATACGGAATATGATCCCGCTGGAGGTGCTCCATGAAGCTATTGTCCAGCTTCATCACTCGCTCCAAGGTGGCTCCAGCCAAACTCAGCTCCACCTCGGTTTTGATGACCTGCTTCAGCTGGGGTGCCCATGACGCCCACGAAGATGAGCGAAACCCACCCCCATCATGGTCGCACTCCTCCTCGGAGACCACCGAAGGTCCACGTACACCATGAAGCTCCCGCGGGCACTGTACTGATGATAGCACCCTTGTCGGCTTCCGGCGAGGATGTCCTAGAGGCCCTTGATCAAACTGCCACCAATGCCAGCCAAGCTCCTCCTTAATGAACTGCACTTCTGGAAAAGCCCACAACGAGGTCCACTCCCGACGCTCACCATGAGTAGCCGCGTCCATGAACTCCTTGGGGTCCTCGGGATGCTCTATGAGAAAGTCCGGAAGTTTCTCACACGCTTCCTTGGCAGCCGCTGCCGACACCATCCAAACAAATAACATTCGAAAGATCCTGATGGTGTCCTGTCGCACTCTCCATGTTTCCCACGCACTGAGATCTTCACGTCCCCAGCGACCATCACCATCCCGAGTCCGCAAAGGCTTGGGTCCCCCATCCTAACACCATGAGCTCTCAGAGCCGAGAAGGTACGACAGGGAGGGCCGCCAAACACCATCTTCACCTTGCAGGTCAGCGCCAGGTCGAGGAGTGCCGCGTAAGTATCGTCCGCCATGATATCCTAGGCCTGGTCCACAGTGATCACACAAGCCGCCTTCGCAGACGACTTCCAAGTCTGACGGTCCTTGCCACAGAAAAGATGGACCCCAATCGCCGAAGTCTGCTTCCGCCGCCTCCGCTCCCGGCGATTCCACGGAACCTTTGCTCTATTCAAGGAAGCCGGG